TCGAGCTATTAAGGTAATTTGGAGCTAAATCGAACAAGTTGGAGCTTTGAAGTCTGAGTAGAAGCCCAAAAAATTAAGACGAATCACGCTCAGGGTCGAGGACCAAGTCCGGATGTCAAAAATATGAACAAACAAACTTACTTTGACAAAAAGGAACAGTGGCGCCGCATGAGGCGCGGCGAGGTGCGACGCCGCAGTGCAAAAGGCAAAAGTGCAAGCTCTCTGGATTTCTCCACAAGCGGCACGGGGCGCGGGTGTTCAAAAAGGTCAGAGTGATTTTCAAGTTCAGCTAGGAAAGGGTAGTATCGTCCGGGCTTGTTTCTACATGGTATAAATACACCAAAAATATGATTTTAAATGTACTTTTGACCTACAAAATATTGGAGAACCAACCAAGGCAAGAAGACTCAAGAATTCATCACGATTTCAACCTGCAATACCGGAGTTTGTATCGAATCAGTAGAATTGATGTTTTCTTTGTTCTTAAACTTAATTGAGATGTCTTACCCCATTGCTATGGAGTAATTTCCATTTGGGTGTTGACAGATACAGTGTTTGATAACGTGATTGGGAATTTGATTCTTGATAATTGTTATAATTAATTAATGGAGCTTTAATTTGTATTGTGGAGTTATTTATTATGTGGCTTAATCCAAATTGGAGTTTGATATTGAATTTCTTCACATCTTATGCTCAAGTTTAAGTTCGTGATTCAAATAGGTAATCGAAAGAGTCTTTTGAATTGTTAATCAAACTAGAAAATAGGGAAATATTCGTGAGAATTTACCCTTTGGATCATAATCATCATTTTATTGTTGCAATTATTTATCGTGCTTCAATTAGATTAATTACTGAAATTAACGTTTAATTGAAAGAGGAACATTAACGTCAAGTGTAATCTGATTATCGAATGAATTCGTGAGAATCAACTGTATTATAGAGTGAACCAACTCAAGAATTGGATCCTGAGTCAGTTATCTTTTATCTACCTAGTCAAATGCCCTCATTCCTCTCATTGATATTTCTTCGTTGCTCATCTACTATCTTTTGTGATCAATTGTTGTTTGCCTAAGTTTAGTAGTTAATCAAATCAAGTGTTAAATTTCCTGGATAGTAATCAACTAGAGATTATTCGAACACTGTTTAAGTCCAATCCCTAGGAAGCCGATAATCAATCTATACTACCTTTGAGTTAGCGAGCAATAATTTTGTGCTGTATTTTGCGCTCATCAAATTTTGGCGTCGTTGCCTGGGATTGGCAGTCAATAATGTTCAAAATAGTTTTTTGTACTAATTCAGGAGCCAAATTTTACTTTAGTGTATTCACGTTTCTCACTTGTGTGCATGATATAGGCTTGATTTCTCTGGTGTATGACTCGGTCCTCTTCAAAGGAAGTGATACCCTACGAACCAAAGTTGGAGAAACACCTGCGACAACTGAGAAAAGAAAGGGAATTAATAGAAAAATTCTTGGGTCAAACTTCGACTCAAGATACCATGGCAAACGAAGAGAATGATGGAGTAGACTTAACTGCAAGAGAGGCAGCATAACAAGAAGCTGCACGGAGAATTATTTATGAGACCGTCAACGATGATGGGGTCGAAGATTCAATGTAAACCGACCCTTGGTTGAAGACCAGTTAAGAATGTAGCACCTAGGCCTGGAAGATCATTGAGTGATTATGTTAGGCCAGTCTACAATCAAGGACTATCAAGTGTCAGGACTCCACCTATAGCAACAAACAACTTCGAATTGAAGCAAGGCTTGCTTCAAACTAACAAAAACAACTGCATTTTCAGAGGGAAGGTGAACGAAGATCCCAACACTCACTTGATGGACTTTGAAGAAATCATGAACACCTTGTAGTACAATGGAGTATCAAAGGATGCAGTCTACTTAAGGGCATTCCCCTTTTCATTGAAAGATGATGCGAAGCAATGGCTTTGTAGCTTACCCACAGGTTCGATCAGGACATGGGAAGATATGACCAGGAAGTTTCTCGGCAAGTACTTTTTAGCTGCAAAAACATAGAAGTTCAGAAGGGAAATCCACAATTTCTGCTAGAAGGAGACAAGAATGATTTTGAAGCTTGGGAAAGATTCAAGGAGATAGTCAGAAAGTGTCAGCACAATGGAATTGATTTGTGGACGCAACTCCAGGATTTTTGGGATGGACTGACACCAATCGCGACGATTTTTGACTACTGCATATGGAGGTCCACTAATGAAGGAACTCCAGATGAGGTCGTCTTAATCCTCGACGAATTATCTGAGGATACTAATCAGTGACAGACTAAGAGTAATGATAGAAGAAAATCCGTTGGGGTTCACCAGGTGGACTTTTACACATCCATGCAAGCCCAGCTAGACACCATGGCTAAGGAGATAAGAATGCTGACATTGGCCAAGGTACAGAGTGAGCCGCAAGCAACATATGATTTTTGGGGTTTGGCACATCCTACACATGAGTGTCAAGCTACAACTGACGAAGTTAACGATGTGGGAAACTTTAATAGAGGAAACTACCAGGGTGGGAACAACTGTAATGCTATGGGTCAAAAACATCCAGGTTTTTTGTGGAGTTCACCTAATGGAGCTTGAACTCAAGGCAGCAAAATAATCTCAAACCCCAGGGTCAAGGACCACTAGGTTTTTAGAACCAGCAGAGGCAGCAATACCAGCCACCACAGCCAAATCAGTCTAGTGTGGAAGATCTCATGAAGGCATTCATTAACAAAACAGATGAAAAATTCGAGACTCGGGGCACGGCTATCCAGAATTTAGAAAGACAAATGGGACAAATTGCAAATTTGTTATCTGAAAGGGCTCCTGGGACTCTTCCCCTATGACACTGAAAAGAACCCCAAAGGAAACAATCAAAGCTGTATCTCTGAGAAGTGGCAAAGCATTGACTGACCCAGTGGTGAAAGCTAGACCTGAGGTGGTTAACAAGAAGACTGGGACACCAACAGAGCAAAAGAGCCAGAGTAGTGGGATACAAAATGAGATTGAAGAAAGTAGACATATGCCAGCTCTACCATTTACTCAAAAGATGAAGCGGGAGAAACTTGAAAAATATTTTGGGCGGTTCTTGGAGATGCTCAAACAACTTTATGTTAACATTCCCTACAAAGAGGTACTCACTCAGATTCCTGCTTATGCAAAGTTCTTGAAGGAAATCTTGTCTAGCAAGAGAAAATTAGAGGAGATGACAGTGGTCAAGCTGAATGCCCACTGTAGTGCGAGATTGCAAAACAAAATTTCTCAAAAGTGTAGGCACCTAGGGAGCTTCACCATACCATGCTCGTTGGGGAGAGAGAAATTTGATAAGGCCCTCTGTCGTTATGGGCATCTATAAATCTAATCCCTCTGTCCGTCAGGAAGCTGGAAGGTGAGCTTGGAGTGATCAAATCAATACCAGCGTCCCTACAACTAGCTGACCAGACCACTATTTTACCTGAGGGAATCATTGAGGATATTCTAGTACAGACAAATTTGTGTTCCCCGTAGACTTTATTGAGGTGGATATAAAGGTGAACAAGGAGGTTCTTCTAATTCTACGGAGGCCATTTTTATGTACAGGCAGAGCTATCATTGATATTTACGAGGGGCAGCTTATGCTCAGAGTGGGCAATGAAAAAGTAGTGTTCCAGATGAAGAGGATAATGAAATACCCCAATGATGAGCCGTCCGCCTACTCGTGTTTCAAGCTAGATGTATTGGGAAATTGGCCGAAAAATACAAGTTTGACAAGCTTGTGGGGGATACTCTAGAGAGATGTATTACTCAGTCTAGCACAGTGGAGGATGAAGATCCTGAAATAAAGAAAGAGGCTGAAGCTCTTGAAACTGAATATCAAGTGGTTGATGAGGAGGAACTAAAAGAGGAGGCTTCTAAGCCTAATGTGGAATTGAAAGTCCTCCCCACTCACTTAAAATATGCTTTTCTTGAAACTAATAATTTTCCTGTGATTATTTCTACTGACTTGACAGGTACACAAGAGCAAAAGCTGGTGGAGCTGCTGAAAAAGCACAATACGTCCATTGGCTGGAGTATACCTGATATTCAAGGAATCAGTCCAGCCATTTGATTATTTCTGCTGACTTGACAGGTACATATGAGCAAAAGCTGGTGGAGCTGCTGAAAAAGCACAAGAAGTTCATTGGCTGGAGTATACCTGATATTCAAGGAATCAGTCCAGCCATTTGCATGCACAAAATTCTGTTGGAAGAAAATAGCAAGCCAGTGGTGCAGCCCCAGCACAAGTTGAACAAAAATTTGGAGGAGGTAGTGCACAAGGATATTATCAAATTACTAGACGCGGTAGTGATTTTCCCATCTCTGATAACCAGTGGATTAGTCCAATGCAAGTTGTACCTAAGAAATGGGGCATGACAGTGGTGAAAAATGAAGACAATTGATCACCACAAGAACAGTCACTGGGTGGAGAATGTGCATTGATTATAGACGGATGAATGATGCCATAGACCACTTCCCACTTCCCTTCATTGATTAGATGCTTGAAAAAGTGGCTGGACATGGATGCTACTATTTCTTGGATGGGTACTCAGGCTACAATCAGATACCCATTGCCCCAGAAGATGTTGAGAAGACCACATTCACTTGCCCGTCAGGTATTTTTGCTTACAGGAGGATGCCGTTTGGGTTGTGTAATGCACCTACCACTTTTTTCAGAGGTGCACGACGTCTATATTCTCCGATTTAAACGGGAAGTGCCTAGAAGTAGTCATGGATGATTTCACCCTTTTTAGTGATGACTTTGAGGATTGCTTGAAGAATTTAGAGCTCGTGCTTGAACGTTGTGAATCCACTCACTTGGTTCCCAACTGGGAGAAGTGTCACTTCATGGTGAAAGAGGGAATTGTCTTGGGCCACAAAGTGACTACACGTGGGATTGAAGTTGATAGAGCTAAGGTTGATGTAATTTACTAGTCTCCCTCCACCGACTTTTGTGAAGAGCATAAGAAGTTTCTTGGGACATGCTGGGTTCTATAGGAGGTTCATCAAAAACTTTTCCAGCATTACTAATTACCAAACTGTTGACTGCATTGCTAGCGAAAGATGTCAAGTTTGTTTTCAATGTGGAGTGCTTAAGAGCATTCAAATTGATAAAGGAAAAGCTTGTGAGTGTTCCTATTATGGTGACACCTGATTTGAGCCAGCCATTTGAGATAATGTGTGATGCTAGTGATATAGCTGTGGGGCAAAGAAAGGATAAAATGTTTAGGCCTATTTATTATGCAAACAAGACGTTGAATGATGCTCAAGTCAATTATGCCACCATTGAGAAATAGTTCTTTTCTTTTGAAAATTTTAGATCATACCTGGTGGGGAGAAAAGTGATTGTACACACTGATCACTCAGCTCTGAAATATCTGTTGAGTAAGAAGGAGTCCAAGTCGCGTATGATGCAGTGGGTGTTGTTGCTCCAAGAGTTTGACTTGGAGACTAAAGATAAGAAAGGCACAGAAAACCAAGTCGTCGATCATCGATCTCGACTTGAGAGACCTCCGGTTGAAACAGTTGACGTAAGAGAAGAGTTCCCCGATGAGCAGATTTTCTCCATTACTGCGGTCTCCGAAAGACCACCTTGGTATGCTGATGTAGCCAACTTTTTGGCTAGTGGATGGTGGCCTCGTGACCTCTCTCGTGATCAAAGAAAGAAGCTTCAGGTTGAGGTAAAAAGATATTTTTGGAATGACCCTTTCTTGTTTAAACTGTGTGCAGATGATGTGATTCGAAGATGTGTGCCTGAAGGAGAGATGGCAAGAATTCTTTCTCATTACCATGATGGAGCAGATGGAGGACACTAATCGAACTGCAGCAAAGGTCATGGAAGCCGATTTCTATTGGCCTACTTTGTACAAAGGCGCATGGGCGTATGTAGCTGCATGTGACAAGTGTCAAAAGGCAGGTAACATTAGCAAGAGGGATGAGATGCCACAAAACTCCATTCTTGTATGTGAAATTTTTGACGTTTGAGGCATTGACCTCATGGGCCCATTCCCATAATCTCATTCATATGAGTATATCGTAGTAGTCGTTGACTACGTCTCTAAATGGGTCGAACCAATCCTTACTAGGACCAATGATGCTTGGGTGGTGTGTGAGTTCTTACGGAAGAACATCTTTACCCGCTTTGGGACACCTCAAGTGATTATCACTGACAATGGGTCACACTTTGTGAACAAGAAGTTCGTTGCATTGTTGTCTAAGTATGGGGTCAAACACAAAAGAGGAACCCCGTACCATGCCAAAACTAGTGGGCAAGTTGAAGTGGCTAACCGCGAACTTAAGCGAATTCTTGAAAAGACGGTTAGTGATTCTCGTAAGGATTGGTCTGTAAAGTTGGATAAAGCTCTATGGGCGTACAGAACTCCGTTCAAAACAATCACGGGGACTTCACCGTTCAAACTAGTGTATGAAAAATCGTGTCGCCTACCTGTTGAGATAGAACATAAATCTTATTGGGCAATTAAGATGCTTCATCTTGATCTTAGTCTTATAGGTGAACACAGGTTGACGCAGATGAATACATTGGAGGAGTTTAGACTGGACGCGTATAAAAATGCGTGGATTTTCAAGAAAAAGACAAAAATGCGGCATGATCGTCTGATTAAGCCAAAGGAGTTTCATGAAGGGGACAAAGTCTTACTACACAATAGTAGACTTAGGTTGTTCCCCAGAAAATTCAAATCAAGATGGACAAGTCCGTATGTGGTGAAACATGTCTCACCGTACGTCGCCATTGAAATTCAGAATGAAGAAGGGAATGAAAGCTATAAGGTGAATGGGCACATGTTGAAACAGTAACTTGTTAGAGGATTTGACTAGCAATCCTCTAGCCTCGTGATCAAATGAGCCTAAGTGACGGAGTCAAGATTACGACTATAACTCATAACTACTTCTAACCTTTTTTTTTCCTTGCTTTTATAGAATAGTTACATAATTGTAGTGTAATATTATTAGAGTTAAGGAATATTGGTACTTGTTTGGGAAGGTATAAGCATGAATTAAACATAAAAGAAGTACATAATAGTGTCGGCATGCAACCTGTGGCCTAAAATAAAAAAAAATCGTCGGGACTCTGAGAAATTCGGCCTACCGCATCGTAGGGGGCGCTGCGCTAGGTCAAACGGGAAAAATCTATCAGAATCGACTCTTTGGAAAACCCCACACCCGCGCCGCATGGGGAGTTGCACCTAGCGACGCGGCAGTGCAATTTTTTTAAGAAAAATAATAAAATGAAAAACAGAAAGAAAAAAACACGGACACCCATTAACACCCGACCCTTCCCCCTCTTTTCCCCAATTCTTTCACTTCCTCGTCTCTAACTCTTCTCTCTCTCATTTCAAATCCCTCCTTCTTCCTCACATCCTTCATTCATTCAACTTCCTCTCATCTCCATCACTCATCAAGGTAAGTTCTTCTTCTCTTCTCTTAATTTTGTTTTTCTTACCATTTAGTTGTAGAATTAGATAGTTTTAGTTTAATTTTCTTAACCCTAGGTAGTTGATTTTTGCTAATCTTGTAGTTAGTTTTTTTTTTACTTTGGTCGAAAATTGTGCTTAACCTTGTGGTTTTTTCATTGTTATTATGTTTGGGAATGATTTTTGGTGTGTCTTGATGGAGTTGGGATTGTTTTGTGATGAAGCTTGAAAGGGGTGCCTATATGGACGGAAATTCATGATAATTTTGTGCAAATTGAAGCACTTTGTGCTATTGTTACAATGTGGTGATGCTTTGGTTGTTGTTGGGTGGTTGATTAATATATAAGTGTGGAGGTGTTTGACCATGTAGAGTGAAAATAAAGGGGTGAATTTAGTGCCTACTATGTGTTTGAAAAAACAACTTATTGAAAAAAATTAATGAAGTTTGTTGCTTAATTGGAGGATAATTGTTTGATGCTAATGTGATAATAGAAGATAAGCGTGGAATGGGTCGTCATTTTCTTAGGTTGTAAAGCCTCAACATGTTAGCCCCGAGTGCTAATCGATTGACCACCACATACTAATGTATAGCTAGTTGCTAATTGGGATGTCCGATTCATGTGAAGGATTTGTGTAGGGTTGTATTGTTCCATCGTGATTTTGTAGTGGTAAATTAATATAACTTCTTCTTTTCATTTCTTAGTTACTAGTTTAACTTTTTGATTTTGTATTTTACAGCATAGTCTGTGGTTATGTTGTTGTAATATTATATTGGTGGTTGGGTGGATTGTTGATTACTTGTGGTGTGCTTTCAATGGGGTAGTTTGAGTCTCCGATTTACATTGTACTTGTGAACGTGCCAATAAAATAAGTGTGGGGTGGTTACCCCATTAGGTCTTGTTTTGTTTAAGTGTTACGGCTAAGGTTGTTCGTCTTATGCAGGTACAATGTCTCGCCATCCTAGCAAATGTTCCAACACAGGTTCCTCCGAGGTTGCCTCTAGTAACCGTCGAGGAGGTAGGCGAGCACCTCCCCCTTCCCCTGTGCAGGAGGAAGAATAGCGCATTGATCCAGATGCAGATATAGTACCAGGATGCAAGTATGGCATTCAGGTTGTGCCAACTCATGCTAGGATGTGGTACCAGACCTTTGTTCCGACAGTGAGTCCCGACCCAGAAGTCGGTATTGATGATGGTAAGCTCGCTATGAAATACTCGGGGATTTACAACAACATCAGATACTTGGTTTTTGAAAGCTTGTTCCATCCCGGTGAGTCGATGAATGTGAATATGGTCAAGGAAATCTACGCTAACTGACAACATGAGGTCAGTTTAGATGTTGTGTATGAAGTGGAGGTAAGAGGAAAGAGGATTCTATTATCTTCCCGGATAATAAATCAAATCATGAGATTCACGGAGCACTCGCATAGGTTGTTCTTGAGGATGCTGCGTCGCCCCCTATCGTGATATTAGACCCCAGCTGTGTGGCACGGGGTCTCTTTGCACATGGACACGAGATGCTAATGAGTTCCACAAAGACATAAAGGAGTGCCATTTCCAGCGTCCCGCCAGATTCATTCTCCGGTTAATTAATGCAAAGATCATGCCTACCCAGAATGACACTAATGTCTCTCTGTTGAATGTGTGTCTTATTTATGCTATCTTGACTCGTATGCAGTTTGATTTGGATAAAATTATGCTCGAGCACATGTCTCGAGTATAACCACTTGGGGCCCTCATCCTGTATTTCCCGAGCATGATCACGCGGCTTCTGCGAACACATCATGTGGAGGAGTACCATTATGATCGGACAATTTCGGTTATGCGGCCTCTTAAACCTTTTGATGGACCCCCCTCCCCCCTACCCCGTTGATGTTGTTCCTGCAGACCAGAGATTTGTTCATATTGAGGAGACACTGCAGCTGATATGTGCCTTCGCGATGATCGGGGGGGGGGGGGGGGGTTTGGACGAGT